TCAGATCCTGAACTGAGCTGAACTGCTGCCAGGCTGATTCTGTGTTTCACATTAGAGGAGAATAGAGACGCAGTAGAGCTGCTTTCTATTGGCTGCAGCACACACTGACAGTCACTGAGTAAAGGCCTGTAGCTCTGCTGAGAGCAGGTAGTAACGTTAAGTCCTCAGAGACGCTTAAAAGGTAAATCTGTCGTATTTATGACATGTACATATATTTAATATCATTAATATAATATTTATTAAGTAATGATTGATGGTATTTTTTTGGTTTTGAAAGTTTTAACAGAAAATCTTGTAGTATTTTTCATGTTTGTTGTAATTTGTCGTGTCACAGAAATGTAGATATACTGGTAGCAAACCGTGACACAGCAGCAGTAGTACTTAAACACTTGAATTCATTAAAAATACTAGCAGTTGCAGCATTACTAGAAGTAATATAATTGCTACTGACGATGGTAGCAGCATTAAAGTTTCAGCTGCAGAAAAGCAGCAGAATTAATTGTACTTGTATTTGTTGTAGTGGTAGTGGAAACAGCAGCGGTAGTATTAGCAGTAGTAGTAGAAGTGCTACAGGTAGTAGCAACACAGCAGTAGTAGTAGTAGAGGTTGTAGTTGAAGAAAAAGTAGTACTAAGACGTTAACTTGAAGGACTAGTGGTTGCAGCAATGCTAAAAGCAATACAAATAGATTTAGCAGTACTTCTGATGGTGGTAGTCACAGTAGTGAAGTGCTTACAGCAGTAGCAGTCGTAGTTGTAGTGGTAGTGTGAACAGCTGCAGAAGTATTACTTAAAGTCGAAGTAGTATCAGTACTTCTAATGGCATTAGTAGTAGAAGTAATACTGGTAGTAACATAGCAGTAGTAGTAGTTGCAGTTGAAGAAGCAGTAGTAGTACTAACACTTGAATTAAGTTAAAGCACTGATAGCAGCAGTAATAAAAAGTAATACAAGTAGCTTTGGCAGTACTGCTGACAGTGGTAGTAGCTGTAGTAGTAATAAGAGGGGTTTCCATCCACCTATTTTTACTCGCATTTTCAAAAATTGCGGAAAAAAAAAAAACTTGGATGGAAACGTCAGAAATTCAAAAAAAGGCCAAAAATTCGCAAAAAAGTTTTTACGCTTGGAGGGGGTGGATTTGTCAGCGTATCGATAAAAGGAAAATGCGACTTTTTGCTATGGAAACAGGTTTTGCGAATAAACGATGACGTACCGGCACACAGATCCTCAAATGTGGCCTTTGACATACGCAAATGTTTCAGCCAGAGTTCGTGAGTGAAAGGCTGCTGGACAACTACTTCCCAAAAGTCCTTCATACACACAGAGAACGACGCGGTGGTCTCCTTCCAGCTGTTTCCGACAGTACTCTTAACATTAAACTTCTTCTTTGTCGTTTCTTCTTCAAGATGGCTACGTACGCTGTGAATGCTGACAAAATGCTAACCAGAGTTCTCCCAAGAGCCGACAGGTTTATCAGGAATCCGTCCATGGACAGTTGTTGAGTGTCAGTTGAGTGTGTTGTTGTTTGCAGTGGGCATAAGACGCTCTCTTATGACGTCATCTCATGGCGCACTCTTCTTCTACGGGGGTGTTTTTATTTTGTTCATTTTTCACAAGAAGCGCATTTTCACAAAATTCGCTTTAAAAAATTTCGATACGTTTGGATGCAAACCCGCTATAGTGTCAGTTGCAGTAGATGTTAGCAGCAGTAGCAATTTACTTGTATTTGTTGTGGCAGTCATGAAAACAGCAGTAATAGCATTACTTAAAGTAGAAGTCTTAGTAACAGTAGTTGTAATGGCATTAGCATTGGTGGTAGACGTACTACAGGTAGTAGCAACACAGCAGTAGTAGTAGTGGCTGCAGCTGAAGAAGCAGTAGTACTGAAAGTAATAGCCTACCATTAGCTTTAGCAGTGCTACCTTTGATGGTGGTAGTAGCCATAGTAGTAAAAGTTCCAGTTGAAGTGTTTGTAGAAGTTACTGGCAGTAACACTTATAAGAACAGCACTAGTAGTATTACTTATATTAGAAGTAGTAGTGACAGTAGTTGTAATGGAAAAACATAACCAGTAGTAGAGAATGCTTGAACTTACAGTAACACCAAGAACAGTAATTATGTTAACATTGTGGTTACTGTACTCAGTGTTACTGTAATTTAAAGCATTCTCTGGCACAGGACTTTCCTTTGGGATCCATAAAGTTCTGTTGAATTGAATTGAATAACACGAGTACTGGCAGCAACAGTAGTACTAACACAATAGTGATAATAGCAGCTGGAGAAGCAGTAGCGCTAACGCCTGGGATCCACTGGCGTTTTTTGTGTCCGCCGTGACGCTTATGCCTATTCATTTCCTATGGATTGCGTCAAACCGTTGCTGACGTCCCCACAAAGCATTTTGGTTAGGCGGCGCAGCCGTTTGAGCAGCTCCGGTGCGTCCAAAAGTTGACCGCGACTCAACTTTATGCAAATTAACCCATCAGACGCGAGGACACTATCCAATGGGGAGCAAGCTTGGTGGTGGTCTGTCGTGAAGTTTTGTTTACTTTCCCTCTCTGGAACAACATGGCAATGGAAGATAAGCTAATCGTAGCAGTGGCGAGAGCTTTCCTATAGTAGCCGCATCCATCTGTATTTCCGCATATTTCCGGGCTCCGCCTCCAAAGCGTCTTTTTCAGGGTAGGCCAGCGTTGCCAGGTGTACGATAATTATCATATTTGTACGATAATTTGGCCCTCTGTACCATGTACGAACAATAATCCCAAAAAAGGCCAAATGTACGATAATTTGACCATTTCATGAATGTGTGGTTGTAATCAGTATGCCAGAGTTTTTTTGTGAGCCAATCGCACTTTGCTTAGCATGAGATACGGGTGACGTTTGTCTCTGAACAATGAGCACGATTGGCTGAATGGTCAGCTGTACCCGCCCCACGAGGCGCTAGGACCCGTCAGGAAGTCGAGCGAGAATGAGATTCAAAACAGAAGAAGAAGAAAAACAGAAGCAAGGAAAATGGAAAATAAAGTAAACACTAGAGTGACTATATTTAAGCAATATCACATGAGAGGGAGTGATGTTGTAATGTATATTGTCACGGCTGTGATTTGGTCATAGGCATGAGGCTGCAGGCCGAGTGCCACAGCCGTGAGGATATACAGTAACGTTACAACATCACGACCTCCAGTGTGATATTGCTTTTATACAACAGGTCAACAACAGCTTAAACAGCAATGCTGAGTAAGGAAATGTTAACAAAAGGTGATGAAATAAATTATTTAAGTATATTATGTAGCTCCGCAAAAACAAACATTTCTCCCGGTCTGTTGCCAGGCAACGCAGCACACACACCAGGAACTCACGAGCTACTTTGTATTTACATTGATCTGCAACTGTGTAACTTCGTCCAGTTCGGCTGATGAAACGTTGGCAAACCTGGATGTTGGCACGGCTGGATTCAGCTTCCACTCTCCCTCATCCTCATCAGTACCTCATCAGATGATCGTTGATAATTCCAGACCGTGTTTGCTTAATTTTTGCTCCTCTCCAGTTTGTCGAGGTCGGCTGATGTTACACAAACACACCTGGAGGTCTGCACAGAAGAGTCCTGGCTTTCCTTTTCCTCGTCCTCTCCTGACGACCTCTGATAATTGAATTCAAATGTAATTTTGGAGAAAATATCCATCTTCTTGGTGTAACGCTATAGTGTCAGTTTGTGTCAATGTAGCGAGTGTGACAGCTGGTTAATTAACACTTGTATTTCTATATTTATAACACCTGTAAGCGGAGTGATTTTACTGTTCCATGTCCCAGTGATGTTATACTCTATATCAGCACTCACGGACGGAATGGCTCTCGTCCAGTCAAATTACTCGGTCGAAACTAACTGTTGTATAATTGCCTATAGCGCATCAATAGGATTGTTATTTTGGTTATGACAGATGTATGATAATTTCCCTCAAAATATGATAATTTTGAGTCTCTGGTACAATAATCCTACATTTCCCACCTGGCAACGCTGGGGTAGGCATCGCGTCCGGCAATGATTCTTGGTGACACCAGTGGATCTGAGGTGTAACACATTTGTAGAAATAGTGTCAGTTGAGGTTAATGTTGGCAATAGTAATAGTATTACTTGTAGTTGTAATGGCATTAGCATTGGTAGTAGAAGTAATACTGCCAGAAGCAACACCGCAGTAGTAGCAGCAGCAGTACTAAAAGTAATAGCCTACCATTAGCCTTAGCAGTGCTACTGTTGGTGCTGGTCATAGCAGTAGCACTAAAAGTAACAGCTGAAATGTTTGTATTTGTTGTGGTCGTGGTAGTAACACTTGTAAGAACAGTAGTAGCAGCTGTAGTAGTATTACTCACATAAGCAGTAGTAGTAACAGTAATACTGGTAGCAATACTAGTGCTAACACAACGGTAATAGTAGAAGCAGTTGCAGCAGTTGTAATACTAACAGTAGTTGTAATAGTCACAGTTTGGGATCGATCTAATAAATATTTTTACTCACATCAGAGTGTGACCGTACCTGTAGCAGTAACACTATCTGTACTAGTATTTTCAGTGGTAGCGGAAGCAACAATGGTAGCAGTAATACTCAGTAGAAGTGCTGTTACTAGAGTTACTAGAGTTGATCATGTAGGAGTACTACTTAACGGCAGTAGTGGCAGTAGTTGGAGGTGAAGTACTACTGCATGCAGCAGTATTAGCTGTAGTATAAAATATTAGTATTGTTAACAGTAGTAGAAGCTGTACCAGTATTAGTAGAGGTGGTAGTAGTTGTAGTGACTGTAGTGATTGTAGTAGTATTTGAGGTACTAAACATCTCAGTTTTCTTTCTTTCAAAACAAACTGTAATATTTTCTGTGCACAAATTGCTCCTCAGATGTTGCTGTGAGTACTCTGCGTACTCTGAGTACTGCTGATGGTAGCTGTAGTAGCAGAAAGCAGTGCAGTGTGTACAGATACTCTGACAGTGTTTCCTCTCTCTGTCTCTGCAGAAGCTGGCAGTCAGAAGTTGTCCTGTAGGGTCGACTAAGCCGCTGTCTCTCATCAAGCCTCCCAGCCAGGGTATTGCCATCTCCGTGGTGCCGGCCAAGGCTCCCGTTTCCATGGTGACCGCACACATTAACGGACAGAAGGCGGCGAGCTCGGAGCCGCTGCAGACATCCCCCATCAACCTCCAGACGGGCGGCAGGGTGGCGGCCGCTGGAGTCCACCCGTTCAGCAGCAGGAGAGCCGGAGAGCTGCCTCCCTCTCAGGTAAAGACGCCCTCTGACATCACAACACCTGGAACACCTGCAGGGAGGGGGAGGGGCTAACTCACCTGCTGGGGGATGATGTGTGAAGTCCTGGAGACACTGAAACAGGGAACGATCAGTAATAACGTCTGCTCCATCCATCATTTCAATAGTTAACTTGCTGCACAAATAATTAAAGGTGCACTCCACCGTTTTTACACGTCTGCTGGTCCTGTTCAAGACTGTAGGTGTCATGTTTCTGTGGCTCTTTAGGAGCTTTGTCATGTTTGTTTGGGTCGTTTCAGGTAAAACATGAATAGTTTTATGATGTGATGACATGACCATGCAAACATTAGTTGGACGCTGATGGTCCGATGCCAAAAACAGCAACGTGGTCATGAGGCAGACGGTGATGTGGTTTCCACATCCAGTAATGGTCCAGTCAGAACCTTTCCTAGAAAACTCCAAATATTGATCATATTTTTGCCATGACAAAAGCAATAATATGTTGTTGTTTATTTTATACAACAAATGCTAGTGTTACTTATATAAAATTGATGTATAGCTACATGTAAATATTTTCCATCTCATCGTTCAAACCTGTGGTGTTTCTAGAGTCCCCGACACACCAAGCAGACGTTCAGCCGTCGGTCAATGTCGGGCTGTTTGTGAACATCTACCGCCCTTGTCGGTGTGATGTGTCCTGCAGCGTCGGCCCTCTTTGGCGCTGGTTGGCTTTTTTACCACGGGTTTAACATGCTGAATCAGCACTGCAGAGCCCATCGGGGATTGAAAGCCTACAGTCAACTGTCGGTCAAAGTTGGGCCATTGGTGAGTGTATGCCACGGTGTGTTTCGCACTGCTGGCCCTTGTCGACGCTAGTTGACTTTTCTTTTGCCGTCTGCAACTACACATCCCAAGCTTAAGTCAAGAGGGAGTGGTCAAAACAAAGTTGTTATACAAGGCGAAATTATTTTTTTAATCCATTGGGCTCTGTAGCAGAAACGTTTCTTAAAGGTTTGTGATATTTTTCACTGCTGCACGGTAAATACGTTCTTTACTTTCAACACTGGATCGCGTTGTTAATGTGCTAACTGGCTAACTAGCATCAAGACGATGTTCTGGCTTCCCTTTTTGAATGAGAATTACAGTGAAATGGTGGTGCAGTGGTTAGTGTTTTTGCCTCACTGCAAGAGGGTTCCTCGTTCGAACCCAGGGTGAGGGATCCCTGCTGTGAGGAGTTTACATGTTCTCCCCGTGTCAGCGTGGGTTTCCTCCAGGTGCTCCAGCTTCCTCCCACAGTCCAGAGACATGCAGGTTAATTTGTGACTCTAAATTGGCCGTAGGTGTGTTAAGGAGTGGGGAGGGGCAACTTTTTGGCTGAGACATGGCGACGTGAGGCGACGCAGCAGGGGGCTGCACTGAGAATAAACTTGTGTGGTGTCTTGGTGATCAGCGAGCTTTAAATCAGACTTCTTGTTTGTATTTCACCTTCTACATGGAGCTGTAAAGTGTAGCAACACTTGATGTTATTTTGTCGTTATATTGTTACACTCAGCTCTGATTGGGCAGTTATTTTATCGTGTTGCAGCTATAGTGTTCATTTCCTGAGCAACAGCTTGTCGCAGTTTTATCGCAGATAGTTAAGGTGTTGCTGATCTGTGTTTTTTCCATTTTGTCTGAAGTTATTTTACACAGCAGAAAACACTCATGTTTGTGTGATGGTGACAGAGCAAGCATATTTTATTAAAGGCTCAGTTCACATTAAAGACAGCCTGTGGCATCCAGTGTTTTGATTCACGTGTTTAATGTAGTGTGGAGGGAGGTGGCTGATGGGAAACAGAGAAGCAGCACTGCTTTAAAATCTGAAGGTTTGATTGTCTGCAGTTTTTATTTCCACCTACTGGTGCAGCAACAGATCAGCATTAAACATCTTATAATCCAGGAAGCAAATATAACGTCACTCGTCTGTAATGTGTGATGTGTGTGACGTGTAAGACATGGTGTGGTTTGGTAAGTTAGAGACAACAGAGGAAAATCTAAATGCTGATCATCCTCTCTGACTCAGAGATGTTGTATTCCTCCTCTGAGTGTCTGTTAGGATTCAGGCCACAGCGTCTCGTCTCCTCCACACTCTGTATTCAGCACCATCACCTCCATCAGCACACAGCCGGGGATCAGAGCTTCACGCTCAACACTGGCAGCCTCCACACTATTACTGTAATTGCACGGCACCATAGAGAGAGGAGGGCCGAGCCTCGGAGGCCCTCGGGCTCCTGCTTTATGATTCCTCCGACCGTCCTGCAGATCTGACTCTCCGTCCGTCAACACGTCTTATATAAGATGGAACGTGTCTGTCAGCAGGAAAGCATCAAATAGATTTTCCCCAAACGCTGCATCAAGACAGAAAAGGCTTCATTTTTCTTTTATTATTTGGTTCTGTGAGCATGACTTAATGAAGTTTCAAAAAATCATCAGTCACAGTGTTCAGCTGCTCAGATCCTGTTTGAAACAGTTCAGTTTCTTGGACTGAGTTCAGGATGAGACGAGTAAAACTCTCACAGGGTTTGATTAACATTACTTTAGGTTATATATCAAAAAAGAAGACATTTGTGTTTCAGATATGCAGTTAAATGTCTTTTAGTGGCAGCTAACAATTAATCTCATTATTTCATTTGTTGAATTCTATTTTCTTTATTAATTGGGTCAGAAACCAGTAAAAATGCGTATCACAGTTTCCCAGAAGCCGGGCTAGCATCTTAAGATATCTGGTTTTGTCCGACTTTCAGTCCAAACACTAAATAAAGTAATTTTACTTTGACGAATAACAGAAAAAACACACATAATGAGACATTTGAGAGGCTGTGTTCACTTAAACGATTAATCGATTGTGAAAGCTGTTGTGTAACCATGTAAACTATAGCTAAAGATTAGGGCTGCACCTGCTGTGGAATTCTGGGCTGATACCAGAGGTTTTTTTTGTCGTTGTTTATTTTGTTTTGTTGTTATTTATTCCCTGTTATTTATTTTTGCTGTTATACTATCTTTGAATAAGCACAGCTTTAATCACACACATTAAAAAACTACCTTTTATATAACCTTTTGCATGAAAAACATAAAAACCTACTGACTGTAGCTTTATAAACATCAACAAATTTCTCCATCTTACAGCCGTATTTATTTGTTTTTCCCCAAAAGTTACATTTTACAAGATAACATTAAACACATCATGAGAACGCTATAATTCACCTTTGGCAGATACTCACTGTAGAGCTTGAACACATCATAATGTTACTCAGTATAACCTCTATCAGCCAGGGCCGTAACGGTACATGTATTTGTGTCGAACCGTTCGGTACGCGACTTTCGGTTTGGCACGACCCTGTACCGAATTATTGGGCGCAGGATATTATTTTATTTTATTTTATTTTATTTTAATTCCGTTTTTGCGAGCCAAACCATTTAAAATATCTAGTTCCCCGACGGACATAATTGAGTGATGGACCGCGTCCGACCGTAAATCTCCGCTTTCGCTTTGTGCAGCGCATTCTCGCATTTTGACAACATGGCAAGTGAGCCTGACGAACCTGAAGACCCACCTGCAAACCTTAAGTCCTCCGTTTGGGAACACTTTGGTTTCAGGGTAAAATACGAAAATGGAAATAAACAAGTGGACAAGACAAAAGCAGTGTGCCGACACTGCAGAACAGTGGTCAGGTATGTACTTGGAAACACGTCTAACATGCTAACGCATCTAAAGCGACACCACCCGAGTTTGAACGTTAACCGGCACGACTAGAAAAAGCAATCTGGTGCAAACTACGATATTGTCGTCGTTTAAAAAGAAAGAGCGTTTCCCTGACCATTGCGCTAAAGAAATAACCAACGCCATTGGAGTTGAGTAAAATTGTTTAAGCTGCACTTTAGATATAAGCATGTTTTGTTTACTGCACTTTAACAAAGTGGGAAAGCTAAGTAAGTTCCTAGTAAAACTGAATCTGAGCAGGCTTTAAAGCTGACCAGCTGCACTATACTTTTTATTTTTATTGAGTAAAACTGTTTAAGCAGAAATGTATATTTATATTTTTCATTCAAAAAATGTGTTAAAAAAACAGCAGGATTTTATTTTTCACTTTTATATTTCTATTTTCATTCAAACAATGTGAAAAAGCAGGATTTTATATATATTTGTTACATTCAACAGTTGTGTAAAAAGAGTTAACTGCTGTGGTGGTATGTTTTAATGAGGTTACAAATAAGTAAAAGATATTTAATAGTTGTCTATTTTTTTCATTACTGTACCAGAAAAAAACGAACCGTGACTTGTGTACCGAGGTACGTACCGAACCGTGATTTTTGTGTACCGTTGCACCCCTACTATCAGCTGTTAGTTGTGGCCATCGGTTGCTAACAGCTAACATTAGCTAGCTTTCCCTTGGCCGACGTCAACATGGATTTGTTGTTCACGATGTAACATTTATCAGGTAAACAAAAAGATTTGCGATGCGTTTACTGTGTCCTTTCGTTTTTAAAGCATCCTGGGGAAGAAACAAACATGTTTTCTGATGTCCCTGATGATGGGACAACAATTGTCTCGGGCCCTGCTTTTTTAGCCTGCGCAAATTTGATGTGACACGACAGAAAAACATTGGCCACTGTATTAGTGAACGTAACTTAAAGGTCCAGACACACCTAACAGACTTCAGAAAACTATTGGCAACAAAAGCCCCCTGCTGCGTCACCTTATGTTTGTGTTACTGTTTACTGATGCACAGTAAATTAGCTCTGTTCTTTCAACATTGGGTTGTGTTGTTAATGTGCTAACTGGCTAACTGGCATCAAGACGGTCTTCCGGTTTCTCTTTTTGAATGATGATTTCGGACGACCGGCTTCTGCTGGTGTGGGGAGTTATTTCCTGTCACGCAGGCACTGAACATTCCTACAGCTTTTTGGCCAGGACACAGCAACGTGACCTCAGAGAACTAGCCTCCACGAATTCCCCCTGCTGTGTCGCCACACGT